ACCGTATCACGGAGGATAGCTGAGTGTCGAATTAATCACGCGTCTCATCAGGGTAACACAAGCTCGGACCGTACGTGCTTATAAAAGTGGCAAACTTACCTCTTCCGAGTCGTAGGCGAACAGTCATCAGTCGCGCGCTGATGCCTGTTGGTTCACCCACCAGGTGGCCATGGAGGCGATCGGATATTGCAAATCCGACCGCATGATCACGTGGTCCTGCGGCGGCGTCGCCCACCCAGTAGAATGTGTAGCCAGCACTTGCTTCATGCAACTTACCTTGCTCAGCGAGTCGAGTTTCACTGAGCGCCGCAATATCGATGTTGTAGTGCGCCAGCTCCATCGCGACCAGTGCAGTGCGTCGCTCGGGGCGCTCACTTGAGTTCCGGTCCAGTAGTGTGCGCACGTTCCAGCACCCGATGCTGAGTGCTTTGCGCGTATGCATACGATTGCATTGGTGGGCGATCGCACGCGTGGTGATCGTTGTGCTTCGGAGGTTTGCTTGAGATACTCCGCCCGGAGCCTTTGACTCAATAGCCTGACCCACAAGGCAGTGGGGAGCCGACCCAGCTCGGGAATATGATTGCAGAGACAGATTGGGATCTGATTGACGGCCGTCACACGCAGCCTTTGAGGTGTTGTAACGATTCATCTGTTTTGCAACCGTAGTAAGATACGCACCTGCGACCATGGCCAGACGCAGGTGGGTCTTGGCGGGTTTGCACCAATTTGACCAGGAGCTGCCTGGCTTGAGGCGGGCAGTAGCAAATCATTGAACACCCGGAGGTCCTCTCCCACCGATATATATATATATATATGTGTGTAGATGACACGGCTAATATTACGGTTGGCATAGTGCCACAACATATGGAAAGTATACTGAACAAACGAAGTGGGAGCCAAATAATACAAAACAGTGTTCATGGGAGATAGAATGTCACAACAGGTCCGCCATTGCGCACGCTTTCTTGCCATATCTCAGAGGGTTTCCAGCCATGGGTGTTCGTGATCTTTGCGTCCTCAGTCAGGGAGTCGAGGGCGCCGGACCACTGCTAACTTTGAATTTTGCCCCTTAATGCTTCTGACCCAAATCATAAGTTAGGCGCATTGCTTTCTCTTCCAGCCGACTTCTGTGCGCGCGAAGATAGCACGGCAAAGTAAACGGTGAGTAGGCATGCTAAGCACATGCCCAGGCCTCTGAAGTCTGCGTAGTGAAATTATGCTGCTCAATGGCCGCCAAAGTCTGTTTGATCTGAAAATCCTGCGTTGAACATTCTCATTACTAGTGTGTTGCCATTGTACACTAGCAATACCTCGAAGGTAGCGATGATCAAAGACAGACAGCCTCACGACAGTCCTTGCGCGAATAGGCTACATCTCTCAGCCATAGAGCAGAACCGCTCACACTGTGGCATTGTAAACTCGGTCCTTCTGAGATAGACTCAGATCGCCTCGACGCCAGAGATGGCGGAGATTATCAAAAGTAACCCGAGTCTTGGAAACGCCCAAAGTGACCTCATCCGTTAAACCATTAGCGCTTAGGCAGCTTCCAAAGTAAACGAACTTGTCTATCACTTCCAACCTGACTTGAAAGAGTGAGGATAGGAGCAGCACCTGGCCAATCCGGCAAGAAGACCTTGCACTTCAATGTTGCGTAGGTCATTGTAAATTGGGAGACAAACACCAAGCTGCACAAAACATTTTGGGCGGTCTGTGATTAATCACATATTACGATTATGTCGTCTGTATAGTCCAGATCGCGTGATCGGTCTCCTAAAAGCAGCTCGGCGCTGCTGTTTTCTCAGTTCTTTAGAGCACACCAGGATTTCGTCCATAGCAAACTTGGGCAAGAAGGGGATGCTGAACGACCCTGTCTCTCGCCAGCGGTGATAATAAAGGGAGCGAAAGTCCGCCGTACACCCGCACTCGACTCGAGGTTTGAGTGTGGATGGCTTGAAGAATGGTGACATATTTCTCAGGCACTCCCTATCTCAGTAGACAACTCCAGAGAACAGCTCTGTCTACTGAGTCAAACGCGGCTCGTATGTCTAAGAAGATAACGATCGTTGGCTGACTAATCGTTTGATGGCGCTCAAGTATTTGATATAGTGTAAAGATGTGATCGATGCAACTCCGACCTGAGCGGAACCCAGCTTGCTCTTCACGTATCCACTGTTCTTGTGCCATACTGAGCCTTCTTAAAACCAACTCGGCGAGCACCTTGGAAGTAACACTAATAACACTAATCCCTGTGGTTAGCGCAGTCAGTTCGGGTACCCATTTTGAGGACGGGCACGATATCCGCTATGCTTCAATCAGATGGGATAACTTCAGTGACCCAAATCTCTTGGTGGAGGAAGTTAACTCCCGGCTCTTTAAAACGAGCCGGAGGGAGTTCATCTGGGTCAGGAGCTTTGTAGCGCCTTAAGAGGAAGCTCATGGTCAACCTCGGCCGTAGATGGTGTTGAAGCGTCTACACACCAGTGAGCACACTGCTCAGAATGCTCGGTCCAACGCGCAAGTCGGTGATTTTTGCAGTGGATTGGCTCGCCATTGGTTTCGCTTAAACCGTTGCAGTCGTCTTTTTGCCGCCAGTGATGGGGTCAGGAGGAAAAACTTACTGAAATTCCCCGAGGTAGCCGGCTGCTCCATCTCAATGACCCGCTGCATCACCAGGCCTCGCGACCTTCCCGAAGAAGCTGTTTGAACTCAGCTTTAGTCTTGCGCAGTGAATGGTATTTAACGCTAGCGGGAATTGCTCGACGGGCTTCGGAAAGTTGGAGAGATCGCGCAGAGAACGAGTGGTTAACAGAACTACTGGTGAAGTCACAGACCATCGCTGCAGAGTTGTACAGAGCGCCGCGGGTGTGTGTCTAGTGTGCCTCAATATCTGTGCATGAGCTAGTCATCAGTCATGAGGCCAAAGCATTCTGAAATGTGCGGAAAACGTTCGGGTATAAAGCTTAGCCACGTCAAACCGTTTCTGGCTACGCTACTGGGAGCCACCAAAACGTAGCGTGACCTTTGCGCACACTAACGCGTGACCTGAAGTGAGGTAGGTAATCCAGGTTGATTTGCAATTCTGTATGCAGTCCCACCAGCGATAACTGATAATCATGTGGTCAATTTGTGTCCAAGTGACCAAGTGATGTGGGTCTCCAGGTGGCGCGTCGGCGCGAGGATTCCCGAAACGTTGACAGAAAGAGGCCGTGATCTGCACAAAATCAAAGTATGTGATCACCGTTGTAAGTTTTTCGAGTGACATGGCCTGTTGACCACCGAGTTCACGTTCGCTAACTTCAGGTCTATCGACCTGCACCTTCAAGTTCCCTGCCAACACCACGATGTCAGTGCGGCGTGGTTTTTACGGAGTAGGTAGGTCAGTTAACCATAGAACTCGTCCTTAACTGACTCTGGCCTACAGTCTGTGAGAGCGTACGTTGCGGCAATGAACACACATCATCTGCCCGCCCTCGGATGAACAATCGCACTGAGGTTTCAAATCGAATCACGCATAGTCGACTGTTGACAAGGATGCAGTCTACCAACGCGGCCTCTGCACGTGTGTTCAACGTAATCACCACGCCGGCATGACCAGCAGCTTCGGTGGTTCAGTCTCTAGGTAGGTGCAATGTAAAAATGCCAATGGAACTAGCAGACGGTGAAACCAGTCTTATCGTCGTGCTCGAATCCTGTAAACAGTTCTTACTGAAACACCAGACATCAACGGACTTAGTTTCTATAGTGCGAGCAAGGGCTGCCTGTGGTCCGATTTGCATCAGTATCCGAACATTGAAAGTTGCCAACTCGAATTGGGAACGGGGCGCTAGAAATGGCTTACCAACTCGACTTGGTGCAACCTCGGACCTAAGCTGCTAATCCGTATTGTCATAACGCTCGCCCAATTCGGCATGGTGTTGTGGACTCAGGAACGTAGGGGGAAGAACAAGAGTGGGGTTGAACAAACGTGAAATAAAGCGATTAAACGGTAGTGCAGTAAAACGTGGTTTAACAGGTTCGGTCACCAGCACTTCGGCCGAGAAGAGCCGTTCCAGAGAGTGAGAGCAGAGAGACCTAGAGCTGAGCGAGCACAGAATTGTTGAGATATACATCCACAGGCTGTGTGGGCATGGTGCTTCCCGGCTGCCCAGACAGAGGAAGTTGATTTAGGGGACCCCACCCCGCAAAGTTGGTAGGCGATTGACGTGTTTCGCGAACCGTTGGGAGCCGGCTATCTAGATGAGGATAAATGGCTTTCGAGTAGAAACAAACTACTCAAGACGCCCAAAGAGCAGCGAGGAGGCCAGAGTTCCCTATACCACCGAATAGCCGCCAAGTGCAAAGGCTGTTGATAGCCGGGTGGTTCATACGTATTCATAGAAGCGGGTGGCCATCGAGATTGTTCATCCGCGCTACGTTAAGTACTCACTTCTATGATCAGAAATGACTGGTCCATGACCCTATAGCCGGTCACATTGGCTTCAGCACAGCACTGTACGAGCTCTTGTGGTATTGAATTAGGAACTAGGTGACAAGCCCAGAACTCCCCACTCTCTAGGACCTGCCGCTGATTGTTCGCGACTGCTTATTCCTCTCCCCCGCGACCAGCCGAGACTTATTCACAGTTACTTTCGCAAGGAAGGCATTCCCCCATCAGCAAACTGGGGACACGCCCGGTGGCGTACAGATCCGCCGAACCAACAAGAGGACGGTTCACTTCCGATTTGTATCATACTAGAATAGACTTGACTCGCTTTGTCCATGGGTTGTTTGCTCAATTTGATTTTATTACAGAATCAAGTCAGTCACCCCTGTCTTGCGGCCGCAGTGTAAATCTATGGGCACAGAATTATGCTGATTGGTCTCCAGAGGATTGCGTCTACATACGCTACTGATGATTAATCTTAGACTACCGTCGTCCTATGATGCTTGGAAACTTTCTATACCCATCGTCTGGTGATATTTCGGTGATGCCCTCATTTCTTGCTTCTTTCCCTTACCAGACGCGAGCAGTTGCAACGGCTCTGAAGGAGATGAATTTCGATCAAGCAGTGCAACTACGTGGGCCGTAAGTCACTTTCAACCGCATGTGTACTGGAAACACCCACCACTTCTGTCATAATATTGTAAATTTCTTCCGTTAAATGTCCACTTTGGTTCATCATCGATCCCGCGATACACCATCCACATGATGAAAGACGGTGTTAGGTTTGTGGTAACCGTTTGCGTTTCCGGTCTTGTTTTGCTGTCCAGTACCCCAGAGATGGATACTAATAATGCGTCCTGTCTACCTTACCTTTCTACGCCACCTCAGTGTTACTATCAATGGATGCATGGACACGTCTACCGTACTCCATAACTTGCTAATTTCCTTCGCTTGTGTGAGATGTGTTGTTATACTCCGACTCTTACCTGTCCAGTCCACAAAGTGTGCGTCCTCGATTCCCCTCGGTAGATTACCCGTACTGACTGGGACGCTGTCCAAATCACCTTTTAATTCCTAAGTGCCCTCTCTGACCTTCAAAGTTGGAACAGTTGAATGAAGTCAGGTTGCTACTGCACACGCCTGTGTACTTTAGTTTTCCATTCCACCATTCTGAGATGAGAGAGGCTACTGTGAGTGTAGGCCACGATCACGGATAACGAGCGATTCCCCATGTAAACCATACACACGTGAGCTGCGGCTATTCCCCGGATGAAATGCTGTCGCCTCATGCGTCATGAGATTGATGTTTCATACACCATTTGGGCTGCACCGACTTACACTTGAATTAGATCTTAACCTGGATGAAAAGTATTCCACTTTATTTAATTTGCGCACTTCTGTTATTCCGCTGCACATTCCGTGTCAATATTCTTTGTTTATTTTCCTTCAAAGTCTGTGTTCGCTGTTTGCTATTCCCAATGGGGCTGCGCTTGAGGTGAATGTTGACAGTGGCTACCTGTCGAAAAACCGCCACATCTGTTATGCTAGTTGCAGGAGACGGTTGGTCCTTGCTGGGAAGATGAGGTGCACCGTCCTGGTGACCGTGCTAGACTCAGGAAGTGTTTTCATCTAGTGTAGAACGGGCTACGGCTTAGCCACCTTCTTGGGTACGTCTGGTAATCATGATTCCCTAAATAAATACACAGGAATGCTGCTGCTATGTAAGTTGAAGGAGTGTGGGCCGACTCTGTTGATGAAACGTGGCTCCCGTCCACATGCCTCCGGTCTTATTCTTTCGAGTTTACACTAGATTTGAGGCGTGTGGATGGAGCTGTGGGTGGTACAGCGAGAGTCACCCATGGTCCCTCTGTAGACGCAGACGTCCTGTGGATGTACCATAGAGGCCATAGTGACGGACAACTAAGGAGCCGAATATCGCCATTTATGTTGTCGTGAGTTATGCCAGGCCTGGATGCGCTCGATGCAACACTAGCTACAGCACCTATCCTTCCGTTGCTTCCATAATGCCTAGTGGATCCAGCTCCACCCTCTAAAACTCATGTTTCCACTAATTTTACATTAGTGAAATGTCAAGCTTTGAATCTACTATGCCTCCATCCTGAATGCTTCTTATGTCTTGTTCCTTTGAGTTTCCACTTACTATGAGTTACTTGGGCGGCGGTTCCCACTATTGCAGAGTAATACAACCGTGGTCCCTGTGTAGGCGGAGGCGTATACAGTTGGTCAACAGCAATACAGGCTTTTAAAGCATATGCTCAAATGCTGGACGTTTTCTGATAACGCGCGCTCACAGGGTCATCGGAAGCCAATATTCGAGATAAATAGGTCATCCTACGCACAAATCTGCGGTACGTGATCACCGTTATCAGTCCTGTGAGCACCGTGATTAAGTTTACCACCGGTGCCACTAAATCTCCGGCGAGCACTTCGATATCCATGAGGCTTTTCTTAAAAACTGAGTCCGTGAACTAATCGTAGAACCCATTTTAGCGGAGTCTAGGTTACAGTCCGCGGAAGTATGCGCCGGCATAACTAATACACAACATCTGCTAGCTTCCCTATTGCATAGTCGAATCGAGCTTCCTGGCTGAATTGCGCAGTCTCTTGTTAAGTGGGACGCGGCTGATCTTCTCAACCACTGCGCCTACGATGTACTCGACCCTCGCTCCGTGATAGCCAACAGCTTTGGCAACCGCGTCTCCGGGTAAGCATAGTCTGTAAGTGCCCGCGGTAACTACGGGCAGTAAATTCAGTTCTAGAATAACGCTAAAATGCTTTAACCTAGCCTTTGCGGCAACGGACGCAGATAACAGGCGTTTCCGCAATGTGAGTAAATGTCGTCCCTATTCTACTTAAAAAGGCGTTTAAGTCCACCGAATTGAGTAGAGGGTCGTTTTGAAGCTCACGTTGTGTCAATGGATTGCGACGCGAAATCTCAATTTGGCTCGTGATTCGCATTGAAGTGAACCTTGATCACCATGACCGTAACTGAGGCAAGTGGCTATTTGGTGTTGACTACTTGCCGACACTGCACTCTCCGACCGGTTTCGAACCGTCTGAACTCATCAGATAGAGACAGCATGACTGCACTAGAACCTTTTGAGATGTCAGCCGAAACTGTCTATAAGGCATGGAGCCGCGGTGGGCAACGCCGGTCATTACGGTCAGTGACCGGTTGATTGTCAGATCGCTTTATGAGCCCTGCTAGCGTTTGATTACTGTATTCGCACATGAGTCAATGACCACCGGCGTTGTTTGTCCGACCTTTATTGTGCACTTTTCTCACGTTTCGGGATTGTTTGACCAGTGATCGTATAGCTGATCGCATTGTATCTGATACATCCTCAAACGACAGTTTGCGGTGTTTGACAAAGCCCAGTTTACCAGGAATTTTTGGTTGTTTTCTCATATGTTTGTTCCTTTGGCCTTCCATAAAAGTGAGCTCCCGGCCCTCATCTGGCGATATGCCCTGTGTAGAGCTATTCAGTGCCGTGGCTATCGTTATCGGGAGATCGGGTGAAATACGGAAGCAGGCTGCCCAGTCACAAAAGGATACCTATCTGATCATAAATGATCATAAATGATGGTTTACTTACAGTAGTTTTGATAGTGTCTTACACTCCCCAGTAGCAATTCAAGAAATTACTGAAATTTACTGCATTATTGTTTCAAATCCCATAGCCGTTCCTTGGCCGAAAGGGCAAAGCGTCTGCCTTGCAGTCCAGAGGTCGCGGGTTCGGACCTACCTAGAGGACCGGGCGACCTTCGCAGTATCCTTAGCCCACACTCGACTGGTGGTTGCGTGGTAGCGAAACGTCGGGACGACGAACTGCTGATGCCTCCAAATCCCATAGGCATTAAGTAGCGATCCTATCTCCGGTTCAGTCGTTCCAATCGTGAAGGGTCCACAGAGGGTGGATCTGAAGAGTGGTCTACAACCTGCATGTGTTTTTATACAGTGTGCGTCGCAGTTGGCATTATGTGGTGATTACCAGTATCTGATCCTTCAAATCACACATTGACCCTTACCGTGAAGTACACCTTTTCTCAGTTATGACAAGTGTAGACAGACGCGGATATGGCGATCACTTAGTAAACATCATCTTGTTCAAGTTCACCCTAGGTACAAACTTTAGTGGTAGTGTCTGCTTTTGTTGTTGTTATTGTTGTTGTTGTTGTTGTTATTATTGTTGTTGTTTTACGATGGTTTGCTATCTGAGTTCGTTCGTCGCAACCAGTAAAGTCATCAGATGATCGTTTCGGTTCCATCGACTAGACGTCATCTGAAGTGCAGCATTACCCTCCCCTCTGTCTGACAGTTTCCTACCTGTTGCAAGGGACTTTAGAGAGAGTTGAGTGGATGTGTGATAGCTATCTCCCTGTGACTAGATAAATAAATAAATCTTTTATTCTCAACAAGGTGAGGCACGCCTTCACAGGCATGAGCATTTTGACATAACGATGCAACATCAAGCATGTGCAAAAATCCGATATGTTTGCCATAGCAGTTTGTGTTTGTGTAGGGGGTATGTATGTATGTCATTGTGTGTGTATGTGTATGTAGCTGTTTATTTTGTGCTTGTAGTTGTGCTGCTCCGATCTTCAATGTTTGATATCGTCATCAATATGCGAGTAGGAGATTGGTGTCCGTGGGTTGGATAGAATTATCCGGATATCCACGGGGCAGTGACTTTATTTTGTGGCGAGTCACGACCGCCACGTCACAGTGTTGTTAAACAGACATTTGTGGCTTTTTATAGGGAGAACGCTTGCCAGGCGAAACCCACCACGTCCTGGAACACTGCCGCCGAACTATTTGCTGGAACGGGTTAAACCCGAACCACCCAGCTGACACCACGAGGAGGTTGTTCGGCACAATTCGGCACAATTCCCGTTGACTTGCTTACGATCTCACGTAAAGGCACATTTGTGAATAAGGAGTCCACATCTATTGAGTACATACGCTCTCCATTCAGTGACAATTGAGCGTATGTACTCAATAGATGTGGACTCCTTATTCACAAATGTGCCTTTACGTGAGACGGTTGATAATTTATGTGATTTTATCCTGAGTCAAAATATCTCTGTTGGCCTGCCAGTGGAGTATTTAAAGGATATGATTCTATTGTGCACCGAAAACATACGGTTTGAATTTGAGGGGACCGCATACAAACAGATCGACGGGGTCGCTATGGGCAGCCCGCTGGGACCAGTTTTAGCCGACATCTTCCTCGGCCTGATAGAAAGACAAGTTGCTGAGAGCATTGGTGAAGCGAAATTGTATAGACGATATGTGGATGACATTTTAGTCTTCACCAGCGGAGAACATTTTAATCGGCTGCTGACCATCCTAAATTCGATTCACCCTAATCTGTCCGTATCCCATGAAGTGGAAAAACACCACTGCCTGGCGTTTTTGGATATACTCATTAAGCGACAGGCTGAAGGTACGTTGCAGCGCACTGTTCACCGCAAATCGACTTGGACTGGACAGTACCTTCATTTTTCAAGCTTCGCTCCGATCGCATACAAACGCGGGTTAGTGAGAACTCTATTCTACCGGGCTAGGCGTATTTGTAGCCCCGAAACGTTACAAGCCGAAGAAGAATTTCTACGCAAGA